ACGTGGAGTTGGAGCTGACGGGCAAAACTCGACTTATAATGCAGCCCTTTGATTGTGTCCAGGCGCAACCTTGGAATAAAATCAGTTAAATCTCAAAAGACCAAAAAAAAAAAAAAAAATGCCCAATAATGTAAATAAATGAAAGAATAAAAACAAACTGGCTGAAAGGAAAAACTCAATTGAAACCAGTAATCCAAAGCCCTTTTAAGCAAACAACTTTGGTAATCAATCAAATGATACGGCAAACGAAAACTCTCCGAAAAAAGGAGGAAAACAATCAGAAAGGTGTAAAAGCACGAATAAGATAATACATAAAGTTTTACATTAAGCATAAACGGCAGAATTGGAAAGGCAACCGAACACATTTTCCCTATAATTAAGTACGAAACAGCAGCTGCCCCAAAATGGTAGAAACTTGTAAATATTTGAAAACATAAATTTCCACGCGAAATGCCATTAAAAATATGTTTGGGCGTGGCGACAAGATTTTCACCATCTTATGAATTTCATTGCTTGAACTTGGCGACAAAAAAAAAAAAAAAAAAAAAAAAACAACAAAAAACTAAAACAGCAAACATAAATAAAGAAGAAAACTCAGAGGAAGCTGACTCCTGGCGTCAGGCCATAAAAAGGTAAAACAAACAAAACAGGCTAACAAACAACATCAACAACAACGGCGGCATATTCATGATGCACTCCAAAATCCAGAGGGTAAAAAACGGGGAAAGGGGGACGAACTTTTCACAAGGTAAAAAATGAATTGAGGGGGTTTCATTTTACCCTCGCAAGTTTATCGAAAGTCAATTGAGCGTAAACCCTGATAATGAATCGGTTGCGAACGAATTCTGATGAATAGGCTATATTTTACAAACTTAATTTATTTAAAGGTAAAGTATAATATATATATATATTTTGCCATTTCTTCAAAACAATATTTCAAACACTTAATGCTTTAAGTGAAAGACATGTTAACCGTCAGTTTCTCCGAAAAGGGAAAGCCATTTACACACACGAAAACTCCCAGGGACTTAATTAATTAATTGTCAAGCCTCTTTAATTGAAAGCCCATTCAAGCTAAGCATCAAAAACTATAATTAATATTATTGTGGGCTGTCGGCGAAAGGTTAACTTGAAAACCATTTAATTGCCGTGGGTGAATGGCAATTGAGGCGCCAAACAGAAGCCAAATGAAAATCTCTCTTGGCAATTTGTCGTCTCTCTAGAAATTTGGGTCACACGGAAATGAAAGCCAAGCTAGCAGCCAGACAGACAAACTGGCAGCAGGCACTCAAAGCAGACGAATCGTTGTAGCATTTAAATGTCAAATCAGGCCCAAAAAAGAAAAAAAAATCCAAAGGAAAACAGAGAAAATTGCAAATGGGTGGGGGCGGGCAAAAAACACCGCCAAATGACAGGCGCAAATAAATCAAAATTAAGTGGCGACAAAATTAAAGTAAAATGTTAGCCAAGGAGCTTAACTTCGTGTCGAAAAAAGTCCAATAAAATGGGCAGGAAATTAATGAAGGGACATCATAGAGGAGGAATATTTTATGTTTGCAATATGCGCCTATTTATATATTGTTTGTTCTGTAAGACTTACTTACATCTTGGCTGAGGTAACACTTATATAATTTACTTGGCTTTCTTTTAATCAAATTTAATTCGTTGTCCGAGCAATTAAATGCATGCAAAGTTAATTGAGAGAGAAGCAGCAGCAGCTGACTTCAAACGATTGTTGCTGCTAAAGTTGCAATGTTCATGTTGCTGCTGGGTTTTTCTTCTTTTTTTTTCTAATTTTGTTTTGCTTTGGCACGTTTCTCGTGTGCGAACAAACAAAACTCAAGCGAACAGGCATATGCATAAAGATATATATATATATTTTAGTACCTGCATAAACAACATACAGCAACAAAAAAAAAAACTATGGGGATATGTGTTTTTGGGAGGGGTTCCACACTTAATTGCTCCCGACATCATTGGAGCTGAGTTGTTGAGCTGCAGGGGGAAATACTCGAGACACACATAAATTGTTTTCACTGTACGGGGCAATTTCGAACTTTGTTGTTTGTTCCCAAAGGAAAAACTCTAGAAGAAGTGCAGCAAGTTCGTAGGCTTTTCATGTGAAGCGAAGGAAATGCAAAACACCGTTAAACGGATTTTAATTACAACAATGTGGGCAAGCCATTAAAACAAAGCAAAGAAAAAAGCCTAGAAATGAGAATTTAAATTATCAGAAAGGCAAACGCTAGCTAAGCCAAAACGCAAACAAAGCCGGGCAAACAGTTAAGAAAAAATATATATATATAAGTCCGCACATAAACCAAACAACAATGAGCGCAATTAAACAAATAACAATTAAGGAAAATTACTGAGATGCAAAAAGAGAAACCCAAAAAGTGGTTTTCATGCTATTTTTATTTAAATTTTATTAACGGTTAACATGGGGCGGAGTTAATCATTAAGTCTATATGAATAGGGCCCGTAAAAAAGGTGGAAGACCATATAATTTTAAATAGAAGTAAGGTGGGGTTATTACCCGAAATAATTACAAAATATTCTTTGGAAATAAAAGGAGTTAGCTTTGAAATCATTAATATGTTAATCAAATGTTTACCTAACTAAGTTCCCTAACTAAAATATAAATCCCTATAAATCTAATCACCTCGAGGGCACTTGCATCACTTCTCATATTTTTTTACCTTTTCGTTTCACAGACTAGTTAGCTGGTTTTAACTTGGCCAATTCATTTCGTCTCAGCCATTAACCAAATACAAGAAACCTTTTCCTATTCACCTTTTTCCCATTAAAATCAACTAAGACAAAGACTGAAGGCACGTCTCTTTTATTTCTCATTAGTTGGCTTAAAGTTTCTTCTTCATCGCTGAGTCGTTTTTCCACTGTTTTCTTGCTTGGCTTTTTCACACGCTTCGTTGGCGAGCTTATAAAAAAAATCATAAAATTGAAAGAAATAAAGAAAAGCGACTCGAAAATGCAAATAGAAAAGGTTAACACACACCAAACAAAAGCCACAAAACAAAAACAAGCGGGACGGGCAGAAAATAATCATAAAAAGTTGACAACTTGTTGACCCCTTTATTGTGTTAGCTGCATATTGGAGATCACGTTCGTTTTGGATCATAAAATACAATTTTTAAAACGTACCATTTCGTTTTTATCAATGTAAATTTTCAGCGTCTTTCTATTTTTTCCGCTCTCTATTTCAGCTTGACATTTGGTTGCAACGGACAAAAACAAAAGGGATAAATTAAAATTGAATATTTAACGAAAGGAAGTCCGAATTTTATTCTTGATCGTTTTTATTTATTCCTGGGCACGGTGTATACTCTTATAACTTGAGGTATATTTTGTTTTGTAAAAGTATTGAAAAATATTTTTAAGTTTATTCTATCCTAATTAATTTAAAGAACAATTGCAAATGAAATCTAAAGTTTTTTTTAACCCAATTAAAAATTTCAAAATATGTGAATGCAAAGTAAAGGCTTCTTAAGTATTTGTAAACATTTTCCCAAAATATTCCAATGCTTCTACAGACACGAGAAACTTTAAATCTTCGATTCCCGTTGGCCGTTTTGCTGCCGCAGTTGTTGCTGTAATTTTCGCATAAATTTCCAATAATTTATGCAATGGCTTGCATTGTTGTCGATGCCTGAGTTTGAGTTTGAGTTTGACTCCGAGTTGTGCACAGTCTCAGTCTCAGTTGCTTCGGCTGCCATTTTCCTCCGCTTGTTTATCGGATTTTTTATTGTCATTTGTGTTTTTATTGAACAGTTTGTGACATTTTACTATTTTCAAAGTGAAAGGTACATATTTGGTAAATTGCTATGGCCAAAGAAATGCGACTCTCCGGAATACTCGTCTGTGGAGTTTGCTTCGGTTTAGTTTTGCTTTAAGTTCGCTATAAGTTTGGGCACTTGCATTTGCTTCTTTTGGCCTCTTCCATCCAATCTTAACTGGTTTGGTTTCTACCCCCCTCCCTCCCTTTTTCCAGGGATGAGTTCAAGCCGCTGGCGGCTTGTTGAAAATGGGGAAAATTGCGCTTTATATATGGTCCATAAAAGTTAATAAGTAACCGCAGTCGGAGTAGCAAGTGCCAGTCACGAAACCTAACTTTTTTTTTGGCTTTAAATCGTAATGAATCGATGGCAAGTTTTTTGGTACTTATACTGAATAGTTTAGAATGCTTTAATTCAAGTTTAATTTAAGGTCAGATTTTAGCCAATGAAAGGAAATTAATTAAATAAGGCAAGGAAGAAAATATTTTGCGTACGTTTTACACCATTTCAAAACCAAAACCATAAAGTTTCATGCCAACGTATTCGGCAAAAGATGAAAGTTCTCGATTTGCTTCACTATTACCGTGCCAAAACATTAAAGTCAATTACAGTGAGACCCCCGCCCAAAGTTCCACGCTAATTTTGGTCACGTGTGTCACATACAAAAACAGACACAAAAAGAATTCTTCAACGTAATGTGTGCAGAAGCAAAAATCTTCCCTTTTGGCAAGCGCTAAAATCAACACAATTAAATGCAAAAAAAAAAAAGCAGTAAAAAGAAAGCAAAAAACGAATAAAAGAAAATAAATACAGAAGGGGAGCCCACGAAGAAGTTGCATTGAAAGGTAAACAAACTGAAGGAATGATTTGGCGGCAAGCCAGAAATTAACACAAAATATCTCAAGAAAACGACGGAAGGCGACAAAATGCAATCGCATATTAAAAGGAATATTGCGGGTATATATCTTCAACTCGATTTGCATACTACAAAAAAGGGAGTGCGGCGAAAATGCATAAGGAAAATAAATATTTGTTCGTCATAAATGAAAGGCAAAATTGATTTTGCCACAAAAATGGAACGAAAATCACAATGTTGATGAAGTAAAAACTTTGCAAAAGGGATGGTTAAATTCTTTCAGAGGAATGTGTTTGACTTCATTTAAATTTCATCATAATATTAAATTAATAAATTGTGTTTAAGCTTACCCAGTACAGTTTAAAAACGTGTTCTTATGCTCAAGTTAAGTCAACTGCAAAGAAGAAAATAATAAATTCTATTAGTTAAGCTTTACAAGCTTTCAGTCATCCAGAAGAGTTCTTATATATTTTGACCTACACCAACATTAAATTCCTGAAGATTCCAATCCCCATTTGTGCTTAATTTTTTTTTGCCTTAACCAATTTGCATATAAAAAGGTTAAACAACAAATAAACCAAGAAAACAAATGGAGTAAATCATAATGAAAGAATCCAAACCCGAGCGGAACAAAACCAGAAGAGGAAGGAAAACAACAAACAAATAAATCTAAAAAGAATCCAGGGGCGTGTACGGTGGGGGTGGCGTTGTGGTGGGGGGTTAACCATAGTGAGGTAAACATGATGTTGCAAGTGTTCAATAAGACAGCGGCTGACGGGCGGCGAGTTTCGCGAGGGAGCAGTAGATTCTAGAGTGGATAGGTGGATTATGGCTGCAAAAACTAACAAACCATAAAAATCCGCACATAAATTACAAGCATAGAGGCGAACAAACGGGGGAGTGTATAGTAGTAGACTGGAAAAAAATTATATAAAATTTTTGAACCTCTGGAAATATTTTGTTTGTATTACACATCGTAAATAAAACTATTACTATTGATATCCTTCGAAAAAATTATACCAATTCCCTTAAATTCCATTTCTTTAACTTCAAATTCTTGTTTTACAGAACTTTTTCTGAGTGTATCGACAGTCGAAGAAGCAGCAGCTGCGCCGACGATGGGCAACATACGCAAATGCAGGCAGCAGAAATTTATGAGCAGCCATTCGCAGGCAGCGCCGAGGATCCGCCAACAAAACTGCCACAAGTGGCCAAAAAGATAGAGGAAGGATGGCAGCCAAGCCAAGGAGGGTATACATAAGACCCCGGCCAAGTGCAATGACAAAGGCAAATAAATTACAGCATCATTTGCAGGCAGAAGCAGCCGACAAAGTGGCGAAGGAATCGCAAGGACCCGAAGCCAGGAGACGCTTAACTACCAAAGACTCGCCAGCGACAATAAAAAAGGAGGAAACTACCAAAAAAGAAAAAAAAGAAATGCAGACCCCAATCAACGAAGAAATAATTACAAGCGTTACTTTCTTTGGACTGTCACTTCCTCTTTCTTTTTTACTCCAGTTCACCCTTCTCTTTGATTAAGCATTAATCAATGAATATTGCACACGCCCCCCAGAAAAAAGGAGCAAATTGGAAGGGGATCGAAGAAAGCTATTGAACGTTAACGACTATTAATGGTCCTTTGGGCTATCAAGGCAACGTTGCGTATACGTAATACAATATATTGATTACAAATAAAAACTGATTTTTAGCAAGTCTTTTGAAATTATTTCCGAATATGGCGGCTTTGTTTAATTCTGCTTTTAAACTTTTTCCCTCCTTTCATCAGCAGTTACAAATTATGAATCACTTGGGAGACTCCATCTCCACACTTTTTTCGTTCTTTTAACTTTGCAACAATACAAGCAGAAATTATATTATTTTCTTCCTTTTTTTTTTTGTAATTGAGCCCCGCATTGTTGGAATGATTGTTGGGAACGGGTTCGCGCTCTTGTCTCGGGGACTTTATGATGTTTTATTGCTTCTTCTTTTCCAACTACCGCCACTTCAGATTCGTTTTCTTGTTGGGCCTCGAAATGGTAAGGTATAAGTCATTATTATTAAATTATTAATACTCTTTTTGTGTATCAGCATTTTTTTAAACGTTCAAAAAAACAGCTGTATTGCTCATTTAAAATTATTAGTAATAAATAAAGATCTAAAAGCAAAAATTTATGACTCGGACTGTACTGTGTACACTCCCAAAAGTCATCTTGTCGGCAAAAGTCTTTGGCTTGGAAAAAAGCATTTTCAAGTGCTTCTTTCGCATTTGCCGCTTGACTGATGTTTTGTTGTTGTGGAAATTGCAGCTGTTTTTGTTGCTTGAATTGTTGTTGCAATTTTCGTTGCTGCCTTTTCTGTTGTCGTACATGTTGCTGATATTGTTGTTTATGTTTTGGCTTGTTTAGTTATGTTTTCTCCACATTTTTTGTGTGTTTATATCTGTGTAATATTACGTATACGTCTACAACTATTGTTGTTTTAATTGGCCCATGTTGGCGTAGCTTTCGTGTTATTTTTGCAGTTTTTATTGCAGTTCAATTTTTTGTATTTTGTTGGTGTGCAGTGCTGCTCAAATTGCAGGCACATTCGTCTGGCGATTATTAACTTGCAGATTGCACATTTTACAGTCAATTTGGTGCGCAAATCGAGTTTGTGTTTTTTGCTCCCTTTTTCGGTTCACCCCTTCTCTCGATTTTCATTCTTCCATTGCCAACTTCTTGCTCTGTTTCCCCCAGTACTTTATGTGCAATTTCTTTCGTTACAGCAAAGTTGTGGCTTGGAAAGTCGATTTTGTTTAATAGAAAAGTTTACTTAACCAGGTGTACTTCTTCTTTTTAATAAATTTTGAGTGTGTAAGTCATAATGCATTCTTTATTATAAGTACTCATACGTATATAATATTAAATAATCTATCAGTAAAATTTGGCATTTAAAACCTGACAGGTTTTCTCATTTTCCACTCGAACTAGGCTCCACTGTGAAGTCCAAAAGACCCGCCGACACAAACAAGCCAACAAATCTCCCATAATAATAATTGATAAACACTCGACAGGTTCATGAACCCCTCGCACGCACACAAATGCACCCGAAATGAAGCCAAAAAAAAAAAACACAAAAAAAAAAGGTAAATAAAAAAGCAAAAGAAGTCGGGAGTGCGGATTGGGGATTGGGGAGATAGAGCAGCGAGAGGAGCTGGCTGAAACTTCATCGTTTAGTCATTTTTGCTGAATATCTTATAATTATTTTTAGCTTCGGTTTTTCTGCCTCCATTCGTGAGTCACGTGGCGGGGGAAATCCCCCTGCGCCCGCCTGCCAAATGGTCTTTTAATTGTTAAGCAAAAAAAAGAGAGCATAAACAAAAAAGCTGGCCAACTTCGACTCGCTGGCTATTAAAGTAATTATGGTTAAGTTGATGATTTTTACGCATTTGGCGAGCAAATTGATTTTGATAGTTTGTTTTTTGCTATTCGTGGACTTGGCTAGAAATTTTTTATTTCTTGTTTTTATTTATTGTAGGGTTGAAGATTTTCAGGTGATCAATGTCATTGATGCAAGCGTTGCACTTACACGGAGTAAGAAAACTAGTATTGATATTTATTACTCAGTTATGCAACCTAAAAAACTTGCACAACACAATTTAAGTACTCTTAAATTCATTTTCTATACTTATCCAATTTCTATTAATTCAGGATTTATTTTAATCGGCTTCAAATTGCAAATTAAGATTAATTGAATAAAACAAAGATGATATGCTAAAACGGTAGACAATCTCCCACAGATATTGTTTCATTTTTTATCGCTATGTGGGAATTTTTCTTATTACCCCGCAAAAACCTCTTGCCCGTAGTAACTGGTCATGGGCCTGAGCAAATCGGTTTTGAAATGCAATAAAGCGTGATTTTCCAAACTGAAGCGTAACGAGCAACGAACGAGCAGCAACAAAGGCAACATATATATGTACATGGATTCAGTTATATATGTATGTATGTATGTATATACGTGCATACATTTTAGGTACACATGTCGGCTACATTGCAAAATAAACACCTGAAGCGAGACAGATAGAGCAACAACAATAGCAAACACAAATCGTAGGGCCAAAACGTAATCTCTTTTGTAGCCCCCAGGCCCGAAAAGGGGTTAGATGGGGAGTGGGGCGCCCAAACGAAAGTGAACCCAACCCCACATCATCTGAAATCCCAACCGAACTAACCCACAAAATCAAGGTGATTTCGTTCGGTCGAATGCAGCAGAACAAAATGGGTAAAAAAGAGAAAATGCAGATGGAAAACATTTTCAAATTCAAGTGGGAATTGTGTGGAAACATTCAACGAAAAAATTGCCAAATGAAACAGACAAAACTATGCATGAAAACCAATGCCCAAACAGTCTGTTATTAACCACTTATGAAACGCATCATAATCGCCGTTGATAAGATTAATGACGGCAACAAGGCACAATCAATGTAAACGATTAAGTAATCAATCAGATAAAAAAGAGATTTTCATTGAACTTATTTATCGACGAAAATGTTTCAATTGTTATGGATTAAGTGGACTTGGTCGGACACTAAATAAATTATATAAATGATAACGAAGCGAGATAGTGCTTTTGGTGAATGATATCGATATTAAAGCTTCAGAGGTTGTTACACAATCATTTTTATAATTTTACATTGTATAAGTAAAAACTCTTTAAAATGTTTTAAATAAAACACAGCCTAAACAATTAAAATTTGAGAATATCATATTAATCAATCAAATTTGGTTACAGAAACTATTGTCCAACTATATTATACAAGTTTCGATTTCGGATTGACCAAAAAATAAACGACTTCGCAAGCCACGCGGAAAAACAAAGAAACAGAACGAATTGCACTGTATTCACGAAACTTTTCCGGTGGCCAACCAACTTTTCCGCAATACAAATTCGATATTTCCAGTTCAAGTCCAGCGATTTGCCAGCTCACGCATTTCGAATTCTCTTAGATGACAATAAGCAGATTCAGATACAAATGCGAGATACATTTGCAAGAGTTTTGCCGCTAGCTTATCAAGAGGAAATGTGGGCTGGGGAAAACAAGGGGGCGTGGCAAGGGGAGTAGGGAGTGGGTGGCACAAAGTGAATGCTTATCGGGCTTATCATGCGTAAATGATAAATGGAATTGAACCAAACATTTTTCGGTACTCCGTTTTTCTCGGGTTTATTTCTCGGTTTTCGGTTTCGGTTTGTGGCTTTTGTTTCTCTCGTATTTTTATTTCTTCGGATTTTTTTCTTTACGCTTATCGCTTCGTTTGCATTGTCAAATCTCCAAGCCAGTCGACAAACAATTGCAACATTGAAAAATGTTAAATTAAATAAATAACTATGTAGGTGGAGGTGGATTGGATGCCT